AATTCCTAATTGTATCAATCTTACTTGTTTATCTCCACTTCTGACTTTAGCTGGAAAAATGAGTGTTATTGTCTTATTGCATTATTGACAAACTAGTTTCCTGTTTAACACTGTAAAGCTGCTTTGACACAACCAAAATTGTATAAAGCGCTATACAAATAAAGGTGACTTGACTTGACTTCTCACCAGCATTTATGATTTGTCCTTCTCTTCCTACACAGAGCCAGATGTGATCAGGAATCTCAGAGTGTCTGAAATCACAACATCATCTGTGTTTCTGACATGGGAAGAACCAGCCGGAAATAGAGATTTCTTTAAATTTAATTGGACTGATGAGAAAACATCTAATCATGTAACAACCAATAGCCCATGGTATAACATCACTGATCTGACTGCTGGAGTCAATTACACATTTATCATCACAGCTGTTGCGGCAGATAAATCAACAGAAGGAGAATCAGTGGTTACCTCTAAATATACAAGTATGTTTTCAATGTAAATGTTTCTGGACTCTCCTAGCTGGATATTCATATTGACTGATGCCTGTCATATTTTTAAATCTTCACTACAGTAAATTTTCAGGATTTGCATTTGAATCCCCAAACGTCTGTCATTTTTACTCACAGAGCCTGACGTCATAATGAACATCACAGCTGCTGATATTACAACATCCTCAGTCTTACTAAATTGGACTAAACCAAATGGCCAAAGCTCCCATTACCGTGTAGAATATGAAAATAACAGTGTGACTACTGAAAACACCTCCATTGAGATAAATGATCTGACTCCTGGAGCACAGTACACATTCAGAGTGTTTGCAGTTGCAGCTGATCATGTGACCGAGGGGAGAGCCAATCAGATTTCACTGTATACCAGTAAGGCCTCTGAATGGATGTTTAATCTGAGTGAATCTGCTGAACCTTCAGCCTTGAAATAATCTCACATTTTCTTGCCTTTAGCAGAAAACTATACAGCAACATCTTGAGATCCCAGACTCATGAATTCTGGCCTTATTACAATTGTTTTATCAATTCATAATTGTATCACTCATACTTGTATACTTACCTTTTCATCAACAGTGATGACTTGCCCTTCTTTTCTCCACACAGAGCCAGATGTGATCAGGAATCTCAGAGTGTCTGAAATCACAACATCATCTGTGTTTCTGACATGGGAAGAACCAGCCGGAAATAGATCTTTTTTTATACTTAATTGGACTGATGAGAAATTGGACTTGACCAGAAATTCAATAGAAACTACTAACACTTCCTATAACATCACTGGTCTTACTGCTGGAGTCAATTACACATTTATCATCACAGCTGTTACTGCAGATAAATCAACAGAAGGAGAATCATTGGTTACCTCAAATTATACTAGTATGTTTTTCACATTTCCTGTTACTTTTAAGTGTACTCTTGAACCTTCACAAGATTTCAGGATTCACATTTTAATCCCTAAATGTCTGTCATTTTTACTCACAGAGCCTGACGTCATTATGAACCTCACAGCTGCTGATATTACAACATCCTCAGTCTTACTAAATTGGACTAAACCAAATGGCCAAAGCTCCCATTACCGTGTAGAATATGAAAATAACAGTGTGACAGCTGAAAACACCTCCATCGAGATAAATGATCTGACTCCCGGAGCACAGTACACATTCAGAGTGTTTGCAGTTGCAGCTGATCATGTGACCGAGGGGAGCGCCAATCCGATTTCACTGTATACCAGTAAGACCTTTGATTGGATATTTAATCTGAATAAATCTGCTCAACCTTCAGCCCCGAAACCATCTCATAATTTCTTGCTTTGAGCAGAAAAATGTACAGCAAAATATTAAGCACCTACAAATGCTTTAGGAATTCCTAATTGTATCAATCTTACTTGTATATCTCCACTTCTGTCTTTAGCTGGAAAAAATACTGTTATTGTCTTCTTGCATTATTGACAAACTATTTTCCTGTTTAACACTGTAAAGCTGCTTTGACACAACCAGTATTGTGTAAAGCGCTATACAAATAAAGGTGACTTGACTTGACTT